CAGACAACCAAGTTGGTGACGAAATCTCGATATATTCTATATTCAACTCCCCCACACTCATGCCCTCCTCCCCATACATCGAGCGCACATGAGAGACTTGGTACTAAGATGCCAGCCAACCCATGTTTAGTAGACATACAGGTTAATCGCACCAGGATCCCGCTCCCTAAGTTGCTTATTCTGGTGCTGGAGCGAGATCCGCATAACCCACGCGCAGATAATAACTCCAAACGAGAACCCGATACTCGCGAGCATCGCAGTCAGATACCGGGGTTCATCTTTGCTAGGCCATAGGTATGGCGTATAGACACTAGCCAGATTGCCAAAAGTATTGCACATAGCGATCGCCACGGCCTTCTTCTCGTCCGTCTGGCCAACGACACTAGCCGTCCAGGCTAATATCAGATTGTTCACCCCGTAAGTGAACCCACAGAAGATGAAGATGCCCACCATACGTGCGGGCACGTTGAGGGTGGCGACGGAGAGGGCGAAGCCAAGAATGGCGAGTAGCTTGCTGATGGTGGTGTGCCAGGTGCGCTCGTTGTAACGGCCGGACGACCAGGACACGGCAACGCTCATGCCGCCTGCAAGGAGGTAGGGGGGGCACGTGAGAGCCAGGGTGACGGTTCTGCTGTAGCCCAGAGTGCCAATGACAGTAGGGAGGAAGTTCTGCGGCGATGCATGTCAGTTTTGTTTTTTTGGACAGAAACTTGGTGGACCCACCTTGAAACCATTGGCTGACAGATGCAGGTTGTCCATCAGACAGAAGACCCAGACGCGCCAGTCCGAGGCGGCCTCGCGGAGACCAGTCCAAACGCTGGTGGCCTCGCGACGACCGGTCTGATCGGTGTAGATACGGGCATGGGCAAGCTCGCGCTCCTCCTGGTTCAACCAACGGGTCTTGAGAGGGCTGTCGGGCAGGGTGAAGAAGGCAAGGATGGCGACAAGGATCGACAGAGCGCCCTGGATGATGAAGACCCTGTTCGCGGCGACATTAGCCATTGGTCTCCTGACGTGGGTGTCCGGCGTTCTATTTCTTTGAACCTACCATTGCCAGCCAGCGAGGCCCTGCTTGCCGTCGAGGTTGAAGATGGCGGCAGCGATGAGTCCGGAGAAAGAACTAGCCAGCATGTTGCCCGTGTAGAAGACGGCCATGCGAGTGGCGATCTCCTTGCGGGTATAGAACATGCTGATCATGTAGAGAGCGCCAGGGTAGAACTGCGACAGTTAGAAAGTGCGCTAGCGGCGGCATCGTTGTGAAAACATACAGGCGCCTCTGTGATACCGAGGAGGAAGCGGCAGACGAGCATGGTCTCATAGTTGTGAGCCTTGTAGGTAAGAAGACTGGTGATGGACCACGCCATGCAGAAACCTAGTATCATTAGTCCTCGATATTCACTTCTCCATTCATAAAGGCTACCTACCGGACATGTACCAAGATGGGCGCACACGATTGAGGATCATGTTGGAGGGAATTTGACCACACAGATAACTTGGTCAATTAGTCTTGTTTCCTGCGGTTATTGGAGTGTTAAGCGAAGGTGCTTACCCAACAAATAGGATGGAGACGCAGGTGTTGTACTGTGTTCCGACGAGACCAAGATCGTCTTCGAGGTCATTCAGTCGTCCGTTGATCATAGCATTGCGATCGAGCTGAATTGCCCCTGTTAGTATATGACTCCACATCATGGCATGTGATATCAGTCTTGTCCCAGCTGTGACAACCTGGCACGAAACACTGAGTCGCAAAACTGTCACCTTAGACATGAGAGACCAGACTTACGAAGTTGAAGAAGTACATGAGCCAAAGGATGGGCTGGGTTTGTCAGCTGCAGAACCTCCCGAAAAAGGAAGGAAGGAACTCACCAGCATGTAGCGGTCGAGCTTCTTCACAAGCGCAATTTCCCTGGGATCTGTCTTCTTGTGCGCGCCGAACTGGTCGAGCTCTTCCTGGCCGCCCTTCTCGAAAACGCCATCATCATTGGTCGCCTCGACATGGGAGATGTGATTCTTCTCGTCGCCAGCGCCAGTAGGCGATGCTGGTTTGGCAGACATGTTGAAAAGCCTCTAGCGTGTGTTTGGCCTGGTTCTGTTGTCGAAACTCGTGGTGTTTGCAGTGATCGTCAACCCTGTGGCTGCTGACTCGAAGGTGAAGCTGCTGGATCTCGGAACCCTGAGTGACGTCTCTGGATGGGTTTATACTTGCATCTTGACAGATGAACGCCAGATCTAACCACCTGTTTCCAGGAGATGGAGGTGTGCTGAAACGACTCAACAGGTGGGAGACCAACCTTTTCCGACCATGCCAGTTTGCGGGGAAGCTGGGGCAGATGGTATGGGGGAGGGGGTGTGGGGGCCTCCACTGCAACAAGGACAAGGGCTGACCATGCACTGACCTTTCATTCCACCAACCTCGATGCAGTGCCGACCGGAAGTGGTGTGAGCGCCGTGTCGGATAAACCAGATTCATGATGATGGTGCATGTAATCTACTTTTCCGGCCACCTTACTTTCCCGAACCCTGCCGTTACGGATCGGCAGAGGCAAGCCAACGCGCGGGGGCGTTGAGGGGAGGTTGGAGAAGGAGAACCTCAAAGGATCATGCCTAGGCCGTATTGACGGCACGCGATGCCACGGCATGCCAACGGAAGCTCATCGGTATCCCGGCAGGTCTCCTATTGGACGCCATCAACAAATTCGGGGCATGAGGGGTTCGAGCTTGAGCTTATAGCTATGTCGAAGCCATCAAGGCTCAGCTTCGCGGGGGTGTGAGAGGCACGCCATAGCTTACACCCTTTTTCGGTTTTGATCACAAAGGTTCCCAAGCAACAATGACAGACACCAGCTTCTTCAGCGACGGCCAGGCTCTCGTGGTTGACAGCCTGCAAGGGCTGGTCGATGTCAGCCCCGAGCTCGTCTTCAACAAGACAATCAAGAGTACAGGCCAACCCCGTCCCATGGCAGTCCCTTGCCATCACACCCTGCTAACCTTGAGTCAGCCATCTCGAATGCACACCACGACCCCTCCAATCACGTTACTCTCATTTCCGGTGGAGGTGCTGGCCACGAGCCGGCCCATGCAGCCTTTGTTGGTCGCGGCCTGCTCAGCGCTGCTGTCTCCGGCAACATTTTTGCCTCTCCGTCTGTTTCCCAAATCGTCGAAGCTATTCGCACAGTTGGTGGCAGCGCGGGTACCATCCTGATCGTGAAGAACTACACTGGTGACATCTTCCACTTCCACCTTGCAGCCGAGAAGGCCAGAGCTCGATGGGGCCACAGGGTTGAGGTCCTGGTGGTTGGGGATGATGTGGCGGTGGGGCGCCAACGCAGCGGCAAGGTTGGCCGACGAGGCCTGGCGGGCACAGTCCTTGTCCACAAGGTTCTTGGGTCCTTGTCTGCTCAGGGCAAGTCGATCGACGAGCTGTTGAGCGTCGGCAAGCAGATTGTGGATGGTCTCGTAACTTGTGGTGTGTCCCAAGGACACGTTCACATCCCTGGTACCGCCGTCGATGCTGATGCCGCAAAATGTCAAGGTCGAACTGGGCATGGGTATTCATAATGAACCCGGATGCCAGGTTCTCGACTCGAAGCCCAGTCTCGACAGCCTGTTGAATAGTATGCTCGACTTGCTGCTCAAGACCGACGATACTGATCGGGCGTTCGTCAATTTCGATGATGCCAAGAGCTCCGTGCTTCTCGTGAATAATTTGGGAGGCACGTCACAGCTCGAATTGAGCGCAATCACACGCCACACGGTTCAGAAGCTCAGTATGTCGACCTCCTTGGCTAAAGAGTTTCCGAGTATGGCTGACACACCTGCGCAGATTCCCGGGGCATTCAACCAACACGCATCTTGTCTGGTACCTTGATGACGAGCTTGGATGCATCGGGCTTCAGTGTTACCATCCTCAAGGCCACAGACGAAATCATCGCCAGCCTCGACTCTCCGACAACGGCTATCGGATGGCCTCAAACGTACTCGGCTTTCAAGCCATACACTGGCGAGCGTGTTCTCGAGTCCGCCTCTGAGAAGTCGTCAGACCACACTTCCAAGGCCTCTGGCCCAAAGTGTATGCTCAGCTCCTTCATCTTGACATGGCACCAGCTGACGACAACCCACAGTGATTCCTCAAGCATTCAACTCCTCGGTCACACAAGCCTGCCAGGCCCTCCTCGCTGCCGAACCTCAAATCACACATGACGATCGTATTGTCGGAGACGGCGACTGCGGCGCGACGCTATCCCGCGGCGCAAATGCTGTACTCAGGGTCCTCTCCGAGGACCCCGTCACAGAGTCGACCACGGCAGGCGCTGCTGTGATGTCGATCGCGCACGCAATTGAAGAGAGCATGGACGGTACATCTGGTGCCCTGTACGAGCTCTTCTTCACCGCATTCGCCGCGGCTTTGCAAAATTCCTCCGGCGAGACTGTTAGCACAAAAGTTTGGAGTCAAGCAGCTGGCAGCGCCCTCGAGCGGCTCCAGGCCATGACGCCTGCGAGAGTGGGCGATCGCACAGTGATGGATGCTCTGATTCCCTTCATCGATACCCTGCAAAAGGAAGGTGACTTGACGAAGGCGGTCGAGGCTGCTAGAACGGGCCGTGATAGTACCAAGGGTATGGAGGCGAGTCTGGGAAGGGCAGTCTATGTCGCCGGTGAGAACTGGGGCAAGGTACCTGACCCTGGTGCCGAGGGTATCGTTGCTATTGTTGAGGGGATTGCCAACTTGACTTCATAGGACAGGTGGGCAGCTGCTTCCCGCGTATTATTTACTAAGGATTATTGAAAAGTCATTAACCTTATTTGTTCATGACAATGTGTTCCTCTCCACAACTGTAAAATAGCCCGGAGCCACTGTAGTCAACTCGAACAAGGTGGTTTGCAATGAACAAACTTCGGCTTTGGCTCTTGCATCCCCTACTAGTTCTTCCGCCGAAACATTCTGATCGTCATCAGCAGGTACTGCCAGGAGGCCCTGCGGCGCCACGGAACAGGGGATGACAAGGGGGTTAGAGACTACGAGAACGTATGCATAAGAAGCTGCACAGGGCTACAATTCAGGGCCTTTCCTATCCCCTACCTAACAATTGACTGCGGAACTTGCGTGCGGACAACCTCCTCACTCTGCACAACCCAACACCCTGACAATTGTGCCTCAAGCGAAACAAGAATGACCAGTCTTGGCAACACCAGCATCGAACTGTGCTGAAAAGTCGACTGCAAGGGGCTCTTTGGCAGTTTGTATCTCAAATTAGCCAATAACGATAACCCTGGCAATAGACTATGCATTGA